TCACATATTTGGCCTTTTGGGTCCCACTTACTACACTTAGCGCTTCTTTTCCCTTACCTCTTCCCAACTCTTTTGCACAGTGTTAGGGATCAGACTCTAGGGTCTTGTGTGTTGTGGAATAATCTTTTTATACACTGTGAAGTTGTGTTGCTTCCATTGGTTTAATAAAGAGCTAAACGTCCAACAGCTAGGCAGGAAGAGGTTAGGTGGGACTTGCCGACAGGGAGAGAGCTCTCTGGGATGAAGGAGGGCAGAGGTGCCAGGTTCAGGGAAAAGCCAGCCAGACACGGAAAATGGGATACAATTAATAAAGCCATGAGGCAGAAAGTAAATTCATAGAAATGGGTTACTTTAAGTTATAAGAGTTAGTTAGAAACAAGCCTAAGCTATCGGCCAAGTATTTATAATTAATAAGTCTCTGTGTGATTATTAGGGAGCTGGTTAATGCATGCTATACCCCTAGCCTTAATATAAACATCTAAGTTGTAGCAAATATCAGAGTTTTACTTTTTTAAAGTAATTTATTTAAATTTATTTTATGTGCATTGATATGACAGTGTCAGATGCCCTGGAACTGGAGTTACAGTTGTAAGCTGCCATGTGGGTTCTGGGAATTGAACCCGGGTCCTCAGGAAGAGCAGCCAGTGCTCTTAATGCGGAGCCATCTCTCTGGCCCCAGTTTCATTTCTTTTAAAGGCTATGTACATATGTATATGTTATTTTCAACTAATTTTAGATAAGTTTTTGTTTGATTTTTTTTTTTAATACCGAGTCTCATTATACAGTTCTGATTTGCCTAGAACTCACTATGTATAGCAGACTGGCCTTGAACTTGTAGTGATCTTCCTTTCTTGGCTTTTCTAGTGATGAGATTACAGGTGACTACCCACACCAGGCTTTAAAAAAAAAAGACACCAAGTTTTAAAATTACTTTGAAAAGGCAGTCTCTCTATCCTCCCATTAGGTGCCCAGGTGCCCATTCTCTGCTTTTGTTAAAATCATGCAAAGTCTGAGGTTAAGTTTCAGAAACATTCCCCTTTTACTGTATGTCTTTATCAAAAGTTATTGGAATAGTAATGCACTTTCCAGAAGCTATTTGAAAGTAAAAATTTCTCAGGGTGTGGTGGTGCACGTCTTTAATTCCAGTACCCTGTTCTACAGAATCAATTCTGGGACAGCCAGGGCTATACAGAGAAACCCTGTCTCAAAAACAAAACAACAACAAAAGGAAGTAAAAATTTCTAGTTTACATATAGTCAGGTAGACTTGCAAGTTGGGTAATTATAGTTTAAAAAAAAAAAAAGAATCCAACTTCTTCCTAATGACTTCTTTGGAGGCAGAGATGGGCAAAGTTCAGCGGGTCTAAACCATAATGCTGGGCACTTGAGCCTGCCTGGATTATTGTTGAGAAAAGTTGGTAGCTTTTATTTATTTGTTTAACTTAAATTATATTTTATTTATTTTGCCTGTGTGTGGACACAAACCATGGAATGTGTTCTAGTTCACTCTCTGTTGTAGTGTTAAAACACTTTGACCAAAAGCAACTTGGGGAGAAAAGGGTCTGTCTGTCTGTCTTATACTTCCAGGTCACAGTCTATCACTGAGAGAAGTCGGGGCAGAAATTTAATTAGGAACTAGAAGCAGAACCATGGAGGAATGGCTGGCTTGTCACTCACAAGCTCATGCTTAGCTAGCTCTCGCACACAGCCTAGGACCACACAGCTAAGGAAGTTGGGCCTGCCTACATGAATTAGCAGTCAGGACAGTGTCCTGCAGACATGTCTACAGGCCTGTCTGGTCTAGGCAGTTCTTCAGTGAAGGGTCCTCTCCCCTGGTGACTCTAGGCTGTGTCAAGCAGACAACAAAGAGGAACCAGGCAGTGTGTGTGGAGATCAGAGGGCAACTTGCAGGAGTTGGTTCTCTCCTTCAGCCAGGTCGGTCCTGGGGATCAAACTCAGGTTGTCAGAATTGGTGGTTGGTACCTTTTACCACTGGCCCATTTTTCGGGTCTCCAAGTTGTTAGGTTTTTAGCCTCTAAGAAAGTAAGAATATAAACCAAACTTCTGCATGGTTAAGGTTATTTTGCCAGGCATTCCTTGAATTCACACACATACCACCACCTCATACAAGTTTCAGATCTGATGATCCAGGCCTCAGGACCTGGGATTCAGACTGAGCATTACTTTTTCTGTTACTTATGAAGAATAAGAGCCTTTCAGTCTGCCTTCTGGTTCCTTTATTATTTTCCTGGGAGGGACACCTGGCTTCACTGTCAGTGAAAGAGTTATTTATTGAATATTCATAGGCAAGACATTCCGTGAAATGCTACAGTAAAAAACTGACGCGATTATGTGTGTGTGTGAGCACATGTAGCCCGATAGTTAAGCGCATCTCACATCTGTGCCTTCCTCTATTACTCTCCACTTGATTTTGTGAGACAAGATCTCTCACTGTACTCTGAGGTTGAGAGAAAATAAGCTTTCCTCTTTTCCCCACAATCAGCTACCGGTGAACCCCTGTATTGCTGGTCTACATGCACAAGCATGTTGCTCTATAGAGGTGCATTTTGTGAGACAGACGGCCATCACTGCATTGGCTATCAGGAGAGGCTATAAGTGTCTTTCATCCCCACGGTTTCTCTATACTAAAAGTTTTTCTAAACAGCAGGTATGGGGAATTTAGAGCCTGCACTTTTCTGATAGAAAGCTACTGATAAGTTGAAAGAAAATCTTGTCAGATAACTGACGAGAAAACTAAAAGGTTAGCAGTCTCTTTTCTACAAGGACTTTTTTATAGAATTTCTCCTCAGTTTTATTAATGACAAATACCTGATTGGCTAGAAATACAAAACTAAAATTCCCACGGGGGTCAGGGAAAGGGGGGGGGGGATGTGGCCAGTAAATAAATGGTGGAAAGACAGATACTAACAACCCAAACAGAATTTCTACAACCCCTTACTGCTGAAATGCCTTGGTGACTTAGGAACCTAATACAGGGCCAAGTAGGAACTCTAAGTATGGCCAGGGCGGTTTAAGCACTTGGCCAGCCGCACATGCTCAATAAACTGCAGCTGCATTTGGGATGGCACAGCTGTGATCCCCGGAAGACTGCCTTGAGTTCTAGTTCAACCTGAGAGACACGGCTAATTCTAGGCAAGTGTGGGCTAAAAGTGAGTACTTGTACTAAAAACAAACAAGACTAGAGATTTCCCTTTCAGGCAAAAGAGCCCATTACACAGCTTCTTTCCTCCCCCTATGCCTTCTTCTTTATTCAGGGATAACTGACAAACACAGTTGCTTACATTTACAATATACAAAGTGATGTTTAAAAAACATTTTTTTTTTTTTTTTGAGACAGGGTGTCTCTAACATAGTCTTGGCTGGCCTGGAATTCACAATTTAACCAGGCTGGCCTTGAACTCACAGAGATCCTCCTGCCTCTGCCTCCTGAGTGCTGGGATTAAAGGGACCATCACACCCAGCCCAAAATGATGTTTTTAAAAAAGATTTTTTTTTTTTTTGAGACAGTGTTTCTCTGTGTAGCTTTGCGCCTTTCCTGGGACTCACTTGGTAGCCCAGGCTGGCCTCGAACTCACAGAGATCCGCCTGCCTCTGCCTCCCGAGTGCTGGGATTACAGGCGTGCGCCACCACCGCCCGGCCTAAAAAAGATTTTTATGTGTGTGTGTGTGTGTGTGTGTGTGTGTGTGTGTGTGTGTGTGTGAGAAAGAGAGAGAGAGAGAGAGAGAGAGAGAGAGAGAGGTGTAGGTGCCAGCAGAGGCCAGAAAAAGGCAGTGAATTTCCTAGAGCTGGAATAAAACATGGGTTATGAGCAGCCTGACATAGATGCTGAGACCCGAACTTGGGTCTTCGGGAAGGGCACACAGTGCTCTTAACTGCTAAGCTATCTCTCCAGCCACCAGAATGATGATTTGATATATGTATAATATCACGATTAACATAACATTCACTACCTCCTACCTTTTTTTGGTAGTGATTAAAATCTATCTTAGAAAATTTCAAGCCGGGCAGTGGTGGCAGGTGCCTTTAATCCCAGCACTTGGGAGGCAGAGGCAGGCAGATCTCTGCGAGTTCGAGGCCAGCCTGGTCTACAGAGTGAGTTCCAGAGCAGTCAGGGCTGTTATACAAAGAAACTCTGTCTCGAAAAAGCAAAGCAGACAAAACAAAACAAAACAAAAACACAAAACAAGTATAAGATATAAACTTGCCACCCCGCTGTACAACATATCTCCACTAGGAATTAATCTTACCTGAAATTTTGTGCTCTGACCACTCCTTCCCCAGCCCACATCTAGAACGCACCTCCTCCTCAAGACTGGGGTTCAAACCAGGGGTTTAAGCATGCTAGGCAAGTACTCTGTCACCGAGTTACATTCCTAGACAGCCACGACTTCTTAACCGCCTGTCTTTCTTTGACACATAATTCATTTACAATGTTTCTAAAAAGTTCTCAAGTTGCTTTTCTACCCATAAGAAAAGGAAACAAGAAGCACACACACCAAAAGAAGCTACTCATTCTTCATGGAAAAAGCAGTGACTAGTCTAAATCTCGGGTCCTGAGCTCTGGATCTTTGGACCTGATCCTGAAACCTGGACAGCTAGGGTGGTGGTGGTATGCGTGTGAATCCAAGGAGAGCCTGGTAAAATAACCTTACCTGTGCAAGAATTTGAAAAAAAAAACTTTCTTGCAGACTAGAATCTGTCAACTTTTTAAACGTTTTTCAACAACAAGCCAGGCTGGCCGAAGTGCCGGGAGCGCGGGTGCAGACTCTGTACTGAGGCGCACACATCTCTGCCCAAGTCCAAGTCCTCAGCAAAGCCGGTTCCGGGTGTCACAGAGCCGGGAAGACCGTGAAGAGCGGGGTCTGCGAGCGCGAGGAGGAAGAGACCCGTGTCCCCGGCTGCAGATGCGAGAGCTGGCAGGACTTACGTCACGATCCCGACAACCCAACTATCAAGCCGAGTCTTGCAGCGGTCCATCCCGCAGCGGGCTCCACTTCTCTGAGCGGTTCACTCTCACCACTTGCCTCGAGTCCCAGCGCCCTTAGCAACCACCGGAGATGGAAAGCGGAAGCGCGCCTTGGTCCCGCCCTCCCCGCGTTAAGCCAGGTCCGGCGAGGAAACGTGTCAGCCCAATCACCGCGGCGAGAATCTCCATCATCCAATCGAAAGGAGGCACGAGAGGCGGGCTAAAAGGGTCGCGTGCGCACGCGCAGACGGGAGCAGGGTCCCTGGTGCTGTGGCGGTGTGGTTGACTAGGGTGCTACCCGGAGTCGTGTGGCCCTTGAAAACCCCGCGTATCCACCGCTGCCTCCTCCGGTTCTCGCCATGTTCCTCACTCGGTCCGAGTACGACAGGTTCGTACGGCGGGAAGCTGCAGGGTCTGGATTACGGTGGGCGGGCCCGGGGCCCGGGCCGCGGCCTTGGTTCTGCAGTGTCATGGGGCGCTCCGGGAACCCAAGTCTGGCGGGACCCGGGGAATCTGGTTCCCGAGGCGCCGGGCGGGACTCCCCAAGCTGGACTGGAGCGGATCGGGCGCACTTGTCCTGCCGCTGAGTCACCGCTAGTCCTGACTCCCTGGGGTTTGTGTTTGGGGCAGGCGGTGGAGAGGGGTCTGGACTCCGACCTTTAACCTGGAGGAGGATTAGGGGGGTCACCAGCTCTGCGTTCATCTTTTCAAGCTAAGTGTGACTGCTTTAAAAAAAAAAAAAAAAGGTGAAATGAGGTGCCTTGAATAAAAAGCCACCAGAGACTATTGAATGAGTTTGTGGAGGAAGACATGCTGTGCTCTACATTTTTGCCTTTTCAAAAGCGCGAAGGCAGTTTCAGCTGTGCCGGGTACATTGCCTGCAGTCTGGTTTTGTAGGAAATAGAATGTAGAGTGGTTCTCAGAAGAGTTGTAATATGCTGATTCCATTGGAAACCCCCCCCACCCAAAAAAAAAAGTTGAAAGCGTTATTGTAGTGTTCTGTTGAAAGCCAGATGTTTTGCAAAGTCAAAGCTGTGTGATTGTGTTTATTAAAACAATCATTATTAAAAACAAAAAACTTTCAGGTCTTGGAAATGCTAGCTCATACTGCTATAAATGCTGTAGACATTTTAACTTTCAGTTTCTGTTTTGATTAGTTTTGCAAGCTAAATTAACTTCCTTTAAAAGTTAGGGAAAGCAGACATTTTCTTTGTTCCAGGCTGTCTGAGAAATTGCTGGCAAGTATATATTGATCCTGTCAGAATTGTAGCACCTGGGATGGCCTTTGTCATCCTTTTGCTGACTCATAGAAGATATATGTGAAGTTTTAAAACTACCTCCTGCTGCAAAGTAAAATGGTATTGCAGAGAATCATCCTTAGGTGATAAAATTTTGAGAAAATTGTGATCCTCGTTCGAAAGGCTTTATTATTAAGTTTTGCTCATTTATTTCTATGTATTAGTTGCTCTGTGCACTTTTTTTTTCTTTTGTGTCTGCTCATGACTAAATAGGTACAGGTCTTCGGCAAATGTCGAGCTTTTGCTCTGTGCAAGGCACTCACTGTTCAGGGTGCTGGTTTTACGGCAGTGAGCAAAGTCAAGGTCCTTACTCCCCTGTTTAGAAGAGTAACTAGTATGAGAGAGAAGGTGCCATCGGAGGAATCTAAGAGCGTCAGAAGTTCTGATGGGAGGTTGCATTCATTGTTAGGGCTGGGGAGCACTTCTCAAAGAAGCTGATAATTCAAATGGGTCCGGAGAAAGTAGAATCTTAATAAATCAAGACCAGGAGAGCCAACCACTTTGTCGGATAATAAAATATGAACAAAGGAGGGCCAGTGGAAAGGCATAATGCATATTTGAAAAAAGTCCAGTCTGGTTATCACAGATGTATGATGCATATTATGGGGCTAGTGGATGATACAGGAAAACTGGGATGATGCCAGATGCTGATGGCTTTAATAGAATGTTAAGGATTTGGGTCTCTGTAGGCAACTGTGTGCTATTAATTTTTTTTTCTTTTTCATCTTTTTAAAAAACGAATTAAAAAATTGGGGCGGGGGAGTCCGTGTACTTTGTATATGCCTGGTGTTCTTTGAGGCCGGGAGAGGGTGTTGGGTCTCCTGAACTGGAGTAACAGATGGTTTTTAGCCACAGTGTTAGTGCTGGGAATCAAATCAGACTCTTCCTCTGGAAGCCCCTGGAAGCCCTTAGCCATCTCTCCAGCCCCCTTCTTGTTTTTTTTTTTTTTTTTTTTTTTTTTTTTTTTTTTTTTAAGATTTTTATTATTATACATACAGTGTTCTGTCTGCATGTGTCCCTTCAGGCCAGAAGAGGGCACCAGATCTTATTACAGGTGGTTGTGAGCCACCATGTGGTTGCTGGGATTTGAACTCAGGACCTCTGGAAGAGCAGTCTTTGCTCTTAACCACTGAGCCATCTCTCCAGCCCTTGTTGTTACTTTTTAAAGACAAGGTTATCATTTATAGCCCTGGGTGACTGAGCACTAACTGGCCAGCCCCGGCTGGCCTTGAATTTGTGGCATCCCTTCTGCCTGGGTGTTCTGAGTTCTGGGCTTATACTCAAGAGCCACTGTGTCAGGCTTTAATGTTTTCTTTAAAAAGTTGCCTCATCACAATTGTTTTTATAAAGATTAACCGATGGGATTAGAAGAACAGGTCACCAGTTAGGAGGCTATTATAATAGTTAGGTAAAGGGTAACAAGGATGTCGAGATGGGAGTGATGTTACCATAGAGGAGGAGTTGATAGGAGTTTATGGCAGCGTGTGGTAGGAGAAAGGAGAGGGTAGGGAGTAGTGAGTCAGATCATTCAGAACATTCGGTCCTAGAGCTTTTGACCCCCGTTTTCTGTCCGTGATTTTTTGACTGTTCTTCAGAAGCTTGGACTTCCTTCTGAGCGGCTTTAGTGATATTGATTGAGGATCAAATGAGGAACTGGGTAGTGAGATTCTCTCCACTTGTCATTTAGTGAGAAGAATTGTCAGCAACACTGTAGTAGAGTAGCTGAGAGCTTGGCCTCTGTAAGTAAGAAGTCGTGAACTCTGATTCCAGTTCTGCTGCTTTCATGCCAAGTAGCTCTGAGCAATTTATTTGAACACACACACACACACACACACACACAATTTCTTTTGAAGAAAAAGTTTAAAATTTTTGGTTAAAATTTGAGAACAGTGCTGTATGCATACTGTTGAGAAGTTTAGAATTCATAAACTAAGGATTGCCATCATTTGATCATTTGTATTCATTCATTCAAACATTTTTTAAATTAAATGTAATTAATTAATTTTTAAATGGTGATTGTGTGTGGGAAGCTTCTATAGCTAACAGTATGTTAGTGCCTCTTCTCCACAGGGGTCACCAACACTGGTGTAAACAAGAGGGGCATACTAGAGAGTAAACTAGTCTGGCCTGTAATCGGCATGAGTATCTGTTTAGTAAGGAAACTAGACAGGCTTTAGTAACTGTATGGTTCTTAGTCTGTTGTTAAGACAATATCTCATAGGCAGAGAAATGTACTTTTAACTGACTCTTACAAAAATAGCAACATCAAATGCACATAATGGGAAGAAAGGAAAGGGGAAAAAGTGACATTTTCTTGGAAATGGCCTGATAGCTTTGGGGCATGAATTTATCAAAGGAATTGGTAGGTTGGCTCAGAGTTCATTCAGGTTGATTCAGGTCACCTGCTTTCGTTTGAACAGTTTGGTTAAGATTTTGGTTAGTCTTGGGAGTAGGGGAGAGGTATTCTCTGCGTAGATTTGAGTGCCTTGAAAACACCAAAAGACTGAAAGGCTTGCTGTGGGCAACTTGCACATCCCCCCAGTCAGTCTGAGCTAGTTGTCAAGGAACTTCGTTCCACTGTCTGTATACTTCTGACAATTTCTAATACCGTTTTTGTTTTGTTTTGTTTTTTGTTCTTTAATTGCAGGGGTGTGAATACTTTTTCTCCTGAAGGAAGATTATTTCAAGTGGAATATGCCATTGAGGCTATCAAGGTATAGTAGTAGCAAGTCAAGGTTTGGAAATTTCATTAACAGCCCTCACACGTTGTTTGCTAGAAGGACATTTGGGAGAAGTGTGTTTGGGCCATTTTTTTTTTTTTTAGAAAATATTCTTACATTTCTTTAACCAACTACTATTTTTATAACAGCTTTAATTAATACTATTTCTGAGGTCCATTTTGAACAGATAACTGCTTCATAATTATGTGAGTTTTTTCCTTCGGTGAGAATGGAGGGACGCATTTTTGTTTCATATCTTGACTTTAAAAAGGAATGTAGAAGTCCAGCGTTAGCTCCTGTGTTTGTGTGTGTGTGTGTGTGTGTGTGTGTGTGTGTGTGTGTGTGAGAGAGAGAGAGAGAGAGAGAGAGAGAGAGAGAGAGCAGGCATGTCTGGGCCAAAGGTTGACGCTGGGTGTCCTCAGGTGCTCTGCCTTATTTTGATACAGGGTCTCTCACTGAACCTGGAGCTCTGATCGGCTAGACTAGCCAGACTGACAACCTCAGACCTTCTTTCTCTACTGTCCCAGTGCTAGGATTACAGGGGTGTGCTCCCTGCACTGGTTCTGGGACTCAGACTCTGGTCTTCAGTGCGTGAGTGGCAAACACTGCCAACTACGTCATCTCTTCGGGCCCTGTTGCCTTCTATATTTTGTTTTCTTGAGCAAATCATATAACTGATCACCTGCAGTTTTGTTGGTAAAATTGTGAATTTGTGGTAGATAATGGGGACTAAAAGGAGGTGTGTCCTGTAATCTAGAAACAAAATCAAATGTAAAGGGCTGAGAGTATAGCTTGATTGGTGGAGTGCTTGCCTTGCATGCAATCTCTAGACAGACAGACAGACACACACACACACACCCAAACATGTAGTTCACATTAGTATTCTCAACATTAGAAGGCTACCTGTACCTGAAGTTAGAACTACATATGTTGAATTATGAATAATTAAATAGCTTTTCCTTTGGTAAATAGTTAAGAGGCTGTTAGAAAACCAGGGTTGTAGGAAACATGAATATCTGTCATCTTTGAATGAAGTATTGAAAAGGAATGCTTCGAAGAGAGAAAGAAAGATGTCCTGGTCCCAAACTAGGAATTGTGCTTTGGTCTCTGGGGTAGGTCCAGTTCCTCTAACGAGGACTAGGGACCACGGGAGTGGTTTGTCTCTTAACCACGTGCTTGCGGCGTCTTGCTGGCACCAGCAGTGTCTGTCTCGTCCCTTCTGGTTATATGGTTCTAGTACCGTAACGCTGTCTCACAAAACGGCTCCTCACTGGTGAAAGTGCTTGCCACCAAGCCTGCCACCTCAGTCCCCAAGTTGCACGTGGTGTAAGGAAGGATCTGAGTCCCTCAGGTTGTCCTTTGTCCTTACAGTTGCCCCGCACACACTTGTATTTGCACACAAACATGACACATAAATATGATTAAAAACATTTTTTTAAGAGATAGCTCATGTTGTTGGAAACAGTTCATAATGGAAAACTATTAACTTTCTGGAGTCTCTCCAGCCTTCTGGAGTTTCCTTCCATGGGGCTTAGTTTGCCTTTGAACCACGTACTTCTCTTTCTGACCATCTATGCTCTGTATTGAATGAGTATGAAGTGCTGAGTTAACAGAATTCAAACTGTAGTATTAATTTGTGCTTCATCGCAACAACAGTTCTGCTTAAGGCCAAGAGCTGTCCTGCTTTAAAAGCTCTTTAGGGCTAGTAAGCTTTAGGTTATCTAGAGATAATGAGATGGTATTTGATCTCTGTAATCTTAGCTGGGCTAGATAGTAATGTAGCCTATAGTAGTAAGACCCAACCATTATGAAAATTCAGGTGCTTTGGAGTTTAAATAACCTGCTTGTTGCTTTGGTGTCTTTTGAGAAGCCAGTGAGAAGGCTATTTGGTTGCTGTATGGCTTGGATAGCATGAGCAGACCTAGAGAGTGGGGTTGTGAAGGTAGCTCACTCAAGATGTTTGCCATGTAAGCTGAGGACCTGAGTCGGGGACCACAGCACCTACATGAATAGCCCTTTGCATGTGCACATCAGGAGAATGACTAATAATTCTGGCTAGAAGTGATGAATCATTTGGAGGTACTTTATAAATAATGCAGGGTGGGATATAACCAGCAGTGGTAGGGAATGTACTGTTAGAATAGGTTTCTCAAACCTGTGGTAACATCAAAGTTATCATCTTAAGCATCTGACACTGATTGCATTGCTGAGTTATATTCAAGGAATAGTATACAGACGCAGTTCAGAGGTACCCTTGTCTTCTCTGCCTTTCCTCAGTCTACAAAGGTGGCTAGGAGGAGAAATTTAGGCAGAATTAGAGTATAAAGATACATTGGAGAGTATAAGTGAAAAAAATCTTGAATTTTGACACTGTTTGTATGTGTGTGTGTGTTTACACATGTATACACAATCTGGCGTGTATGAAGTTAGTGGACAACTTCTGGGAGTTGTTTCTCCTTTTACCATCAGATACAGGAATTGAACTCTGGTTGTCAGGCTTGTGTGAAAGGGTCTTTTACCTGCTGAGTCATCTTGCTGGCCCTTGATGTATTTTATAAAATAGCTTGTCTCAGAAATATTGGCCTTATTATTATTATTATTATGAAATTGGAATCCAAATTGAGTAGACTGACAATATGTGTTTGTGCTGTGAAAGCAGGTTTTCTACATGATTGAACTGAATAACTTTCCTGTGTGGGGGCCTTCTGGTGTGGCCACTACTGGTTGGATGCCAGTAGCACTTACCCGCAAAATTCTGTAGACTTTGTTGAATGTTGGTGGGGGGCAAGAGAGCCCCCATTTGAGAGTTGCTCTACTAGAAAAAATTAAAAGTAGATGGGAATTTGGCTCTGTCTTGTGCAGTTGAGGATTCAGGATCCTCAATAAACAATTACAAGTAGGTGCTGTGGATGGATGTAGTCAGTGGTAGAGTGCTTGCCTAGCAGACGAGAGGCCCTAGGTTCAGTCTGTGCCCAAATTTAAAAATTATGGCAATTAGGGAACACATAAATCTTATTTAATTTTCTGGGCAATGGATTCATATTTATTATTACTGTTATCATTTTAATTTTTCAGGGCATGCACCTATGTAGTTTTAGAGTCCAAGGTAAAATGGCTCTATAAATTGTGCAATAAGAACATTAGTCCCTTAGGCTTGTACATCTGTTCTCAGTTTCCCAGAGGCAGCACTTTAAACTCTTTTTTCTTTTTTAGATTAATTTTATTTTTTTATGTGTATGGATGTTTTTGCTTGCATGTATTTACACCATGTGTGTGCAGTACTTTTAGAAGCCAGAAAAGGATACCAGATCTCTTGAAATTGTAATTATAGATGTCTATGAACCACCTACCACGAGGGTGCTGCCCACTGAACCTGAGTCCTCTTCAAGAGCAGCAGTGTTCTTACCCGCTGAGCCTTCTGTAGAGCCCACTTCAGCTCTTTTATTTGATCATGTTCTTGCCACCCACCATATATTTAGAACACAGGCATTGTTAGACATTATCCACACATTTTTTATTATTGAAGATAGACTTCTGCAATTTTCTGTGTATCTGTTCTCTGCCCAACCACAGTTGCCTAGAGGGTTAGTAATAGTGAATACAACCCTCCCAATAGATATCTTACGCAAAGCAATTTCTGTAAAATTAATGAACAGTTGTGTTAAACTGTTCAAAATGGTTGAGCCATTTTGTGTTCTGTGATTATTTTTTCATTCCTGTGGCCTTTACTCCCTGCCTCCTCAAATAGGGTTTTATGTATCTCAGGCTATCTTCAAACTCAGTGCCCCTCAAACTTCTGATCCTCCTGTCTTTAACTCCTGGGTGCTAGGACTGCCTGGGCCCTAGGATCTGGTTTATGTGGTGCTAGAGTGCATGTTAGGCACTCTATCACTTGAGCTATATCTCAGCTTTTCTTTTGAGCTAGGGTTTCACTATGTAGCCTAGGCTGCCTGGGACTGGTATCTTCCTCCCTTCGTCTTCCGAACAGCTAGAATAAGAGGCGAGGATCACTAAACCTGATCTGAACATTTCTTTCTTAAGTGATAGAGCAGTAGCTATGAGAATACCTTGTCCATAGTATTGACCTATGGTTTTTCTTTTTCATGAACCTTTTTTTTCTGTTTGATAAAATTATGGTAGTTTTGTGTGGGAGTTATAGTTCTGATATATTTCTTAGTGTGAATTTTTGCCAGATTGTAAAAACTACTGCTCTAGAGAGAAGTGCTCATTTCAATATGTTTCTGGCTCCTGCCTTTGAGATCTAAGTAGGGAAATAGCTTGAGATTCTTAATATTGACTTCATATATTTCTACTTACTTACTTGGTTTTCAGTAATAATACTCTACCCTTTGACTAGGCTTAGAGCTCCTTGATCCAAAGACTGCTTTACCTTTTCCATACAATAAATCTAGGGTCTTCTGCATGAACAGTGGGGAGAGAAGCTATTGGCAAAATTATTAAGGCCACTCCACATAGTTAAAAGGAAGATTTATTTAGTGGGTAACTTACAAATGAAGGGATAGGTAGGTCGCGGGGTCTGGGGAAGGTGTATAGCAGTCCAGCAGTGTTCTTTGGAGCTCTGCTCGGTCAACCTCCACCGTCAAGGGTCCAGGCACAGAGAGCACGCTCGCTCATCCAGATCTCGGGTCTCCAGGTGCCTCCCTTGGCCCCGCCTTGTAGGCGTGACAGTTGCTGAAGCCTCAATGGGAGTTAGAACTTCCAGATCAAAGCTGGAATGGCTACCCACTACATCTCCCCCTTTTTGTCTAAATAAGAAGGTTCTAACCTAATTCAAGACTATATACAAAGGAATGGTTGTCAAATATTGTCCAGGAATAATGAGGGATAATGACCTAGATAAGATGGAACTACAACCAATGCGAACAATATCAAGCAAGAAACACATACTAAAATCCAGAGAAGTCTAGAGCATAGGTAAATGGCATGTTACAAAGATCATTCCAAAAGGTGTCCTATCCTAAAGAACCTGAATCTAATACTTAATATGTT